CGGTGGCAGTGCAGCATTCGGCATGACATCCAGATCTGGTCCTGTGACTGCAAGAACATTGTGTACCTGTGAGCAGGGGTTTTAAGTCACTTCTCACTGCTTTGCATCTAGTTCTGGTTGGGAGCCTGAGAACAGGGAACGGAGGGCCAGCCTGAAAGTGGGGTATCACAGGTGCCTACAGTAGGTCTCAGCTCTAGGTCCCATGGTGTAAGGGTCAGCATTCAAGACTGAATCCTGCAAGCTGAGTTCAAGTGTCATTGGGACCTGCTGGGGCTGGGCTACTTTGCTGGGAAGTCCCTTACGCTTAAAGTTCTTGGCCCTTTTTGTTCCTTCTGCTGGGTGTCTACTTCTCTTCTCTAGCTAGTTCAGTGGGGTGGCTGTGATGGGTTGGACCATGGAATTTAGCAGCCTAGCTAGAGATTCAGGAGGGCTGAGGCTGTGTTTCGCACCTGATGCAGGCATGTTTTGTACCTGCAGCTGCCAAGCTGATCCTCTTGCCCCCAAGGTGCAAAAAGGAAGGAATGTCAGTGCCTGGCTTAATAGCCAAGGAAAGGCAGGAGCCTGGTCCTAGGAGAGAAAGGAGGAGGGCTGCAGTGTGATTTCGCACCTTCATGCAGCCAGTGGCCTGCGTTTGCCAGTGCCCTTCTGGAAATGCCACATTTCCTTTTTCACCATAAACTTTGAAGAATTTTGAAACACTGTGCACAGGATGTTTAATTTGTGGTGCTGACACTTTCAGGGGTACGAGGGGCTGGGGAGTTGCAGAGGAGCTGCGTTGCGGGGGGTTGTGAGTGTTCATGGTGCCATCTAGGCCGTGTCCAGACTCAGGGGTTTTTTCGGGAAAAGTAGCCTTTTCCCGAAAAAACTTCCCCTGCATCCAGACTCAAGCCGCGTTCTTTCGAAATTATTTCGAAAGAATGCGGCTTTTCTTTCGATGGCGGTAAACCTCGTTTCACGAGGAAGAACGCCTTCTTTCGAAAGTTCCTCTTTCGAAGGAAGGCGTTCTTCAATGTAAAGAGGCCGTCTTCGAAAGAGAGCATCCAGACTCGCTGGGTGCTCTCTTTTGAAAAAGCGGATTTCTCTTTCGAAAGATCCGCCTGCAGTCTAGACGCGATCTTTCGAAAGAGGCTCTTTCGAAAGATGCTTTCGAAAGAGCCTCTTTCGAAAGAAGCCTGCAGTCTAGACATAGCCCTAGAGTCAGAGAGTGTCTCATTCCAAAGCTCAGTTTACCCAGCAAACACTGCAGTGCAACTGCCCTTCAAAGTGCAGGAATGTTTTTCCCCCCCTCCCTCCTCTAACAACATTTCAGGAACTGGAAAGCTCTTATGTTCCCTCTCCCTCCTCTCTTTTCAGACTGAACAAACCTATTCTTTCAATCTACTCTTGTGCATTATGTTTTCTAGACCTGGCATCAATTTTGTTGCTCTTCTCTGGACTTTCTCCAATTTCTCCACATCTTTCCTGAAATGTGGTACCCAGAACTGGACACAATACTCCAGCTGATGCCTGATCAGCCCAGAGCAGAGCAATTAAATCACGTGGCTTGCTTACATCAGAGTGGGAAATTCAGGATCTGTACTAAAGAAAGGTTGCCATTAAAATCCCAGTTTGTGTTATATGCACAAAAGGTATGAATGTCTAGCAAGTAGTTTGATAAAGTTATCTATTTTATGTTTGTAACAGGCTCCTGTCTCCGGCCATGTTTTCAGTCCCATATTACTGCAACTCACCCATCAAATATAACTGTCCAACTATGACTTTTGTGGTTTGGAATGGGTCCCATATGAAGAGACATTTAAAAGACCTGGACTTTTCAGCTTAGAAAAGAGGAGACTAAGGTGGGGATAGGATAGAGGTCTATACAATCATGACTGGTGTGGAAAAATGAATAAGGAAAACTTATTTACTTATTCCCACAATATAAGAGCTAGGGGAGGGGGAGGTCACCAAATGAAATGAATAGGCAGCAGCTTTAAAACAAACAAAACAAAGTTTTTCTTCACTTAGCACACAGTTAACCTGTGGAACTCCTTGCTAGAGGATGTGGTGAAGTAGATTCAGGGAGGTAAGGTCCATCAAAGCCTATTAGCCAGGATTGGTAGGAATGGTATCCCTAGCCTCTGTTTGTCTGGAAATGAGTGACAGGAGAGGGATCACGCAAGGACTACCTGTTATGTTCCTTCCCTCTGGGGCATCTAGCATTGGCCACTGTCAGCAGACAGGATACTGGGCTAGATGGACCTTTGATCTGACCCAGTATGGCCGTTCTTATGTTCTTATGACTTGTGTGGACTTTCATTTTAATTTAGCAAGTGTGTTACTAATTCTTTCTACAAAATACAGGGATTAATTGCTAAAATCAGTAGTCACAGCAATTTCCCCTCCTCTTCAGAGCATTCTGCATTAATCATTTAGTCACAGAACGTATATCCAAATGTGAGGAAAGACAGCTGTGTGTCGGTGAGTGTTTCTGTAGTGTAGTGGTTATCACATTTGCCTAACGTGCAAAAGGTCCCTGGTTCGAAACCAGGCAGAAACATAGTATTGTCTCTTATTGCAGCTCCCCTGGGTGCCCAGGAAAGCCTGTACCTGGGATAAGTTCATCTCCCATGACAGAAGGTGGTGACTTCATCTGGGAATGCACCATGGTGTCAGCCTGTGGAAGTGAGACAAATCAGGCCAGTCACTTGTGGGTTGGCCTCCTCTGCTGGTGAAGGCCGGCTCCTCCTGCTGCCTCCCTTGCATGGCTTGCCCAAGGACGAAACGAGACAGAAATGTGGCTAATTGAGTCTGCCCCAGGCAGGGGAAGCCTTGGGCTATTCCCATGGCAGCAGGGAGAACGGCCCAGCATTGTGAGCACAGGCCTGAGGACCGGAGAGAGCAGAGGGTGGTGACGCAGCCGGGGGCTGGAGACAAGGAAGCGGCTGTTCCCGTGTCCAGCTGTGCAGCTACACCCTGCATCTCTGGCCCATGCTTACGCCACCTGCTAATACCCATGCCTTCTGCCCTGAGGCTACCCAGTGAACCCCCTGCCTGATGTCTGCTACCTAGCCACTGTGACTGGATAGTAGCTCGTGCTCGGCATGTCACCTGCAGCTACCTCGGCCACATACTGAGCCATGGCAAGGTCCGTTTGTCATTTGCCACTGTTCCAGATGTAGCTGCAAGGGAGGCTCACTCTGCCTTCAACAAGCACGTGCAAACTTAGCACAGCCGGGTCTTCTCTTCTTACGAGCAGCGCTACTGAAACAGGGCAGGACAGGGAGGCTGGGCTCAGCAGGGAAGAACTGGCAGGGAAGAACTCCTGCACCAGTGCCTGAAACAGAGAGCCACGAGGAGCAGCAAGCCATATTCAGCAGCCTTGGGCTGTGGCAGGCAGGTCCTGCAGGGCTGCTGGCCTGGAGCTGCCTAGGTAAGTACTTCCCAGCCACAGCCTGCATCTGGCACCCAGGTCCCTCCCTCCCCCAAATCCCTGCCTTAGGTCACCACCCCTCCTGCCCCAGTCACCACCTAAATCTTCTGCATCCCTCCCCCACTCCTCCTGGTCACACCTTCCTCCCAGAGTCTGAAAGCTGTCCTACACCCCTCCCCCAGGCAAGAATCATCTTCTGCACCCCAATCCCCTGCCCCAGATAACAACCCTTCCTTCACTCAAACTCCCCCTCAGATCCCACACCTCCTGCTCCCCAGTCCCTGCCCCAAGCTCCCTTCTATACCCAACCTCCATCTCAAACACTGTACTCCTTCCATAGAAAAATGTGGCCCTTGACCTTTACCAAAATCTCAGAGTGCCCCCCATCAAACATGATTGCCCAGCCTGGTTTAAGTGAAAGATCCCCTCTGCAGTTAATTATTTGGGTTTCTGTTAATAGTCTCCCTTTGTTTCACTCTCCCATCTGTGTAAGGCTCCAGTCAGGTGAGTCTCATGATGACTGGTCAGAGAACTGGGACTAATTTGCGTGGGGTTCTGGGATGTTTCCCAACACTGGAAGGACAGGCATCTCCTTGGATATCTCATGTGTGCACAGGTTGTTGAGCAATATGCACTTAGGGATTGGGGGGGGGAAGGTTCCTCAGGATTTTTCTGTACTTTGGGCTGGTAGTGCAATATTGGAACAACACTGAGGCTCTGTCTACACTGGGAAGGTTGGGTGACAAACGTGCTGTCAGCAAAAATCAGCAAAGCGAAAAACAGTCAAACTGGTTTTTCTGCCTGCCATTGTTGAGATTTCATGGCCACATTGGTCATTCCCCTGTCGACGGATAGAGCAAAGCCATGTGGGTGATCCTCCCACAGTGCAGTACTGTGGGAAGGTAAAGCTGATCCCTGTGCTTCTTGGGATTCCCTCCGAGTTTTCCCACAGCCTCCACAGCTGTTGGGAGCAGCATCACGAGGAGCTCTGTGAGCTCTCTGGGCTGATGAATGTCAAAGCAGCGCAACCATCTCTGCAGCCCTCCCCCTGCAGCAGCAGCCTGACTTGTGCTGTGTTCCTAGCAGGGCAGAACAGAAGCATTCCGGTGATTTAGTCTTTCTTTGTTCCCCAATCACACAGCTCTCAGATACTTCCCAGAGCTTTGAAAGGGGAGGGGGTGCATACCTGCAGGGCAGCAGAGATCACAAAACACTGAGCAGAACTATCAAGGCAGGCATTGTGGGATACTTGCAGAAGCCAGTTTTCTCCACAGAATAAACAGCAGAGTCCACACTGGCTCTTTGCTGACAATAAAGGGAGAGAGAAAGAGAAAAGTTTCTCCCGGGACTGGAAGTTTTTTGTCACCACAACTAGGACAAAAGTTGCATTCCGGTGTGAATACTCCTGTTGTATTATCTCCAAAAGGCAGCTTTTGGTGACAAAACATGCCAGTGTAGACAAGGTCTGAGTCAACTTGGCAGCTGAGCTGTCGATACAAAAAGTCAGAGGTTAGGAAGCAGAGTTTGGGCATTTCCCCCAATTTTATTGAGAAGGAACATTTTTCCCTGCACCACTTTGGGTGCTGAACATTGTCTATCTGTGGCCCTAGACATGGTTCTCCACCTTCTTGCTGCACGGCCTCTACATTTTCCTCTGACTTGGGGAGGTTCTGTGATGTTCCTGCGCACTGCTGAGCCCTGCCTTTCAGCAACTGGAGATTTGACACCTGTCCCGCTTTGGAATGATGGTCGCATATGTCGGTATCTCGTCTGTCTGCGGCTGTGGACGCTTTAAGGTAAAACACACGAATGTTACTGTTCTGCTCCGCCAGAAAAAGCCCCTCCAACAGCCCCACTGTGTGTACAGCAGGAGCAGTTCTAATGGGCATCTCCTCTGGGAATCACTTTCTGCATCAACTCCTCTGAAGCAGGCAGCTCCCTTCCCTGCTCAAACGTCGTCTGGTCCTTTCTTGCTTCCCAGTTAGGACAGCCTGGCTTTGCCCTGACACCTGACAGCTGAGCAGAGGAGCCCTTCTCCCGCTCTCCACTCCAGCAGCCCCATGGAGGTAGTGCTGGGTTCTCCCTGCGCTGAGGTGCTATTATCTCATACTTTATAAGGAGTCCTCTGTGCTGCAGGCAGTGTTGTTTTGTCTTGTCCAGTTTCATATTATTATCACTGATGTTGTCAATAATGATGTATAAAATGGTTCTGGGCAAATATTGTTGTGCTGGATACTGGGTGGATCCCAACCAATGTGTCTGGTCTACGGGCAATTGCAGCACATTGCTGACGCTAGTGGCTGTGATAAGCATCTGCCATTCAGCTAAACATGGACGCAATTAAATACTCCTTTGTTTCGTCTGTGCTGAAGCAATGGGCAACCATTGCCCAAGAACAGAACTATGGTTAGCCCGGGCTAACGAATTCTGGGCAGGGGTTAATTTGATTTCAGCTCTTTGTGTGTGTGTGACACAAGCAACAAAAATCCTCAGAAGCAACAAGAAAGAAAGAAAGAAAGAAAGAAAGAAAGAAAGAAAGAAAGAAAGAAAGAAAGAAAGACGGGAGGTGATTCCTATTGTGTCCAGGAAATCAGGATTTTTTGTAGGATCATTGTAAATCAATGGGGTCGCATCGATGCACAAACCCAACTTTGCCATCACTGTCTCCTTTCAACATTGCAACTCCAACTACCAGCTAACTTCTTGGATCAGGGTATATCTGCACTCTAGAGTTTTGTCGGAAAAACGGCCATTTTTCAGACAAAACTTGAGCAACGTCCACACTGCAATTGCGTTCTTCTACAAGAAAATCAAAAGAACAGAGGGGTTTTCCAGCATCAGTAATCCTCATTGTACAAAGAAGTCTTTTTCCGAAAGAGCCCTTTTGAAAAAAGGCACGTGTGGACGGGGAATATGGAGTTCTTTTGGAAGAAGAGGAAAAAGGAAAAAGCACAGGTACCCTGGTGGCCATTCTGTCCATAGAAATCTCAGCTTACATGTGAGAGAGCCTCCATTGAGTCTGGACACTCTCTTTCAAAAAAACAGATTGCTTTTTCAATGCACTTTTGCAGTGTGGACACTTTCTTTTGGAGGATCTCTTCCAAAAAAAGATTCTTCTGAAAGAAGCCTGTAGCCTAGACATAGCTTCAGAAGGGAGACCAAACTGTCATTTGAATAGCATTTAACCAACTTGTGAACTCACATGGGGGATAAATAGCTCTGCCTGTCGCACCCTGTCCCAGAGACACGCATGAAAAGCCCTTAGTTCAGACTAGGGATGCAAATGTAGCATACCGAAATTACTAATGAAGCACGGGATTTAAATATCCTGTGCTTAATTAGCATATTTGTGGCCTGCCGCATTTTGAAATTGGAGTATTGTGAAATAACTCGCCCCGTGTAGATGCATTATTCCAAGAGAAAACCCTTTTCTCAGAATAACTGTTATTCCTCGCAGAATGAGGGCTAACAGTTATTCCAAGAGAGGGGTTTTCTCTCAGAATAATGCATCTACACAGGGCGAGCTATTTCGCAATACCCCAATTTAAAAAGTGGCAGCCAGCCGCGAATATGATAATTAAGCGCGGGATATTTAAATCATGCTGGCTGTTCCCTCTGGGCGGCCCATGCTGCATGGGGAGTGCGCTTCCCGCAGCAAGAGAGAGTGAAAGTGATGCAGCAGGAGGAGGAGAAGAGAAATGGGAGGGGGAGAAGAGAAAGACAGAGAGACAGGCAGGAGGCAGACGAGAGCTGAGAGAGAGGCAGGCCATTTGTGCTGCTTGATCCCGCGCGGCGGCCTGGCTGAGCGGTGCAGAAGTCAGCGGAGCGCCACGGTGGGAGGCGAAGGGGGGCATGGCGGTGACGTGTGGCATGACAGCAACTCCAGGCTCCACCCCCTGGCCGTGAACGTCACCGCCCTGCCCCCCTTCGCCTCGCGCCATGGTGCTCGGCTGACTTCTGCACCGCTCAGCCGGGCCGCTGCGTGGGAGCAAGTGGCACAAGTGACCGTTTGGGCTCCACGCTCCCCATGCAGCACAGGGAGTGCGGAGCCCAATGGGCCATTTGGGCTCTGCGGTCCCCTGAGTGAGAGGCAGGAGGGGGATGAGAAGAGAAAGAGAGAGACAGAAAGCGAGGCAGGAGGCGGAGGACAGCTGAGAGAGAGAGGGGGAGGCAGTAGGAGGAGGAGAGAGAGAGAAAGAGAGATGGAGCGAGAGCGAGAGCTCAGGAGAGAAGACCGACGTGGAGGAGAGACCTGAAAATCCCGTCTTATGACGGGCTAATTGGCTAGTTGATAAATAATTATTGTAAAGAAGCAATTGGGGGAAGGAAGCTCGGTATTAGGAGCTTACCCCAATACTAACAGGTACGCAGGGTGCGTGCACCACTGCACAGCCGCTGCTAGCAATGTGAGTCTGTACACCATCCCCTGACACCTACATCCCTTGCAAACCCACTGGGGGAAACCTTGCCCCATCGAAGTCAATGGGAAACTCTCAGGATTTCACCCCTTGCTTGTCTGTCTTCTCCTTTGGGAGGCCCATGGTGGGGAAGGTTAGCAATGAGTGGTTCTGGGGTTTCTCTAGGATCTGCCTGAGAAGAGCTGGTTCACAAGGGGGTAACATTCTGGAGGCTTTCACACCCGTCGAGGGGATTAAAATGTCCAGTTCTCAGGAATTGTAATGGGAAATTCTAACCTTGAATATCCCAGCCTTAGCTGGGTAACTGCAGAGGCTGGTGAAGTGGGGGCACCTCAGTAGCCAAATAGATTTTCAGGCCATGGGGGACTCTCTCCTCTCCTTCTGGTGTGCAGTTTGGGAAGGATGTTTTCCTCTCTCCCAGATATGTGTCTGTGTATTCCCTAGGGGCAGGGCCAGGCAGGCCAGGTAACAGCAGGCGAGGGAGGCGGCTACCTACTCCTGGTGGGAGATTTGGGGCAGCAGCAGAGAGACTGTGCTGAATTGGGTCAGGCAAACCAATCGCTCTTTGCTCTCACTTCACTTTCTCGCTAACAGAGCTGTGACTCACCGTGGTGTTTCCTGGCCAGATCTCCGAGGTATCTGGGGAGAGAAGGACAGTGACCCATGGTCACGTGGTGTGAATGTCTTTAGGGAAAGGCCCCTCCTTGAGCATGAATTATAACCCCAGGTCACCTGCCCCTCTCCCAGCCAGGCCAGGGCTCCCCTGGGCAGCTCTGAGCACCATAGGGCAGGTGGTACCAGAGCAGAAGGATTTCAGGGGGCCACTGAAGTTGTCCAATGGACACTGTCCATCTTTCTGCCAGAGTGATTCTGACACAAATTCAACTTTCGGCAGCACATTTCAACATTTTGGTCAAAAAACAAATACCCCAAAACTGCAATATTTTGGCCCAAACCAGAAATATGCTGATTCAGGTATCAGCAAGCTGCCGCATGGGAGGGGTAGTTCAGGGTCCTTATGATAATAGTCTCCTCTACAAGCTGAACTGGCTGGGCTTGGTACCATGATGTGCTACTTCCCATCACCAAGAGGGGAGACAGTGATGCATCATGGGAGAGCCAGAGAGCCCTGCTCAAAGAGGAGACCAGGAGCATGAGGCACCGGAACTACAGCTCCCATGAAGCACTCTTGCCCCAGCTCCTAGTGACGGGGGTGGGGCACTTTCCAGGGGGAGCTTTCCTTGGGATGTGCCTTTCCATGAAGGAAGAGAAGAGGCAGTTGACCCAGTCTCCTAAGCCCTGGGAATGCAGGGCTGGGGATCACAGACAAAGGGGGAGACAAAGGAACCTCAGGGAGTCAGATGCCCAAGCCTGGGACCCCAATGACTCTTTATCCTCATTCACTTTGATCACAGACAGGTTGTTGTAACACACTGATTTGGGATCTGCCCATCCCCCACCAGTTTCCACATTAACCCCCAGCCCCACATTTCTCCCTCTTGTGCAACTGATCCCAGTAGCTCCCGAAGTCCCCCAAAGCTCTTACCAGAACTGAGGGATTTCAGGTGGCCACTGAAGATGTCCAGTGGAAAGTTCTTGTGGGGCACTGCTGGTTTCAGGCTGGACGTGTTCCCTGTGGAGAGCAGTGAGGATGGGGCAGGGGGGAGGGTCAGAGAGGCCATGCCCTCTTGCTGGGAAAGCCTGATAAAGACGAGACTTGCACACCCTGTTCTACTCCAGCGAAATGGCCCAACCACCAACCACACTAACTGCGAGGTCAGCAGGGAGCTCAGATCGGGCAGAACGGAGAATCCCCGCCGTCCCGGCATGCCTCACGGCGGCGTGACGGTTCTCAGCAGAACTTTCTTCCATGGACAACAGCTTAACCACAATCAAATGTCTGGGCGAATAACGGATTTGAGGGTGGGGAGCAGACAGGGAGCCAGCAGCACAGCTAAGGGGCTCACCCTGCTTCTGGAGAATTGGATGGGAATTCACCGCTGGGACAAACCCCTTAAGGCATCTCCCTGTGGCCCCAAATCCCACCCCACCAGGGAGCTCATCCTGCCCTGGGCTTTTGAAAAACTCCTCCAGAACACACAGACTGAAACTCCCCACAGCAGGCGAGCTGAGCTTCACGGTGAGGCTGCACCAGCCCTTCCATGAGGCAGCATGAAGGGACTCGGAGGGGAAGCGAGAAGGGAGAGGGAATAGACTCCTCCTACCTGTTCTTCCTTCGCAGAGACCTAGCTGGAAGCAGCGAGACAGAGTGATCAGAGACGGGGCCACGTTTCCTCGTGGGCAGAGAGAGAGAGAGAGACTGAGTGACACGGCCCCAGCCCCTCATTGTACCGACACAGAGCCCCCTCCCCACAGCCCAGCCCAGCGCTCTCCTGCACCAGCCCCACTGACTGGAGTCGTGTGGCCACATATGGTGATTTAACAGCCAGTCTCCCGGCATTTCCTGTTGTCCATAAACTCCAGGGCTGTGTCTAGACAGGCCAGTTTTTCCAGAAAATCAGCCGCTTTTCCGGAAAAACTTGCCAGCTGTCTACACTGGCCACTTGAATTTTCGCAAAAGCACTGACTTCCTACTGTAAGAAATCAGTGCTTCTTGCAGAAATACTATGCTGCTCCTGTTTGGGCAAAAGTCCTTTTGTACAAAACTTTTATGCAAAAGGGCCAGTGTAGACAGCTGAGATGTGTTTTCCGCAAAAAAGCCCCGATCGCAAAAATGGCGATCGGGGCTTTTTTGTGGAAAAGTGCATCTAGATTGGCACGGACGCTTTTACGCAAAATTGTGCTTTTGCGGAAAAGCATCTGTGCCAATCTAGATGCTCTTTTCCGAAAATGCTTTTAACGGAAAATTTTTCCATTAAAAGTATTTCCGGAAAATCATGCCAGTTTAGACGTAGCCCAGGGGTTCCATGAGCGTGTTGGTTTTCATTTTAAAAAAGAAAGCAAAACAAAGAAATGTAAAACCTTCGTTTTGAGGGAGAAAAAAATCTGAAGATGTGATTCTAGAGCCGCTCCAAGATCACCCCTCCCTCCAAGCAATTACAAAGCTGCCACACAGGTGACTTGTTGGCAATTCCATGAGCTCCGAGCCAGTCTCGAGCTGGTCGGGGTGGCTGGAGGCTGTGGGAGCCAGGGGATGGGGGGCTGTGAGGAAAGGCTGCAGGGCAGAGCTGTGCCCAGGGCTCTGTGCTCAGAGTTGTTAGGCCCTGATTCCGAAAAGCTCCTACACACAGGCACAGTTGTAAGGGCCCTTCTCTACCTGCACCTTAATTAATCACCTGCGTGTTCATATTCCATCTGCACACATGCCCCAGATGAGTTGTAGACTGTGACCATGCTCTGGGCAGGGACTCTCCTCTTTATTTCTGCTGTGCACAGCACTGGACATAGAGGGAAGGTCCGATTCCTCACTGGGGCTTCAGGGCTCGACAGTAACACACCTAATAAATGACGTACAGCACCTAGCGCAGTGGGGTCTGATCCCCCACTGAGGCTCCTGGGTACTACTGCAATAGACAATAGACAAGGACAATCCCTTTCATCATCCCTTTGATCTGCCCCCACCCATCTTCCTGAAAACAAATGATCCATTTCACTCTGTCTACCTCATTTCTCTCCCTCCATCCCAGACACACAGGGGACAGGGGATCTCAGGGGGGGGTCTCTGTCACGTCTGTCTGTACATTTGCTAACACGGCTCGGCCTCAATCTCACACCCACCTTTCCTTCCCAGCAGATAAAGCGCCACAGCCAGCACCAGCACGGCGACAGGAACTGTAACTCCCAACAGGAGATGCAGGAACTTTACGTCTGGGCCTAGAAAAGAAGCTTGCTGTGAAGGCCTCTCCAAGGAGCCACCGGCAAGTCCCCACTGCCTGGAGCAGGCTGAGTCTTGTGGTCAGTGACCCTGGAACATACCTGGAAGCTCACCTCGTGGTTATCGGCACAGTGACGTTATTGGCTGTTCTTGGGGAGTTGACCTTCCAAGTAGAGTAGAGCTACCTGAACTTTTTAAACAATTTTTTGACCCCACATTTTTTAAATAAAATCTTTGCCAAATTGTTGACGTACAAGGACCTTCTTAGTCTTTCCCCAGAAATAATTGGAAATGAAGGGCAGTGTTTTGTTTTAATTTGAACTGAAATTTTGGTTTCCTTTTGGTTTTCAAAGCCCACTAATGGACGGTGAATGTCCATTTAAAAGCAAAGCAAAACGGTCTGTTTCCCAATGACAATTTTCATAGAATCCCAGGGCTGGAAGAGACCTCAGGAGGTGATCAAGCCCAGCCCCCTCCCTAAATAGGACCAATCTCAACTAAATCATCCCAGCCTGGGCTTTGTCAAGCCGAGACTTAAAATCCTTCAGGGATGGAGACTCCACGACTTCCCTAGGGAACCCATCCCCGTGCTTCACCACCTTCCTAGGGAAATATGATCATAATATCCAACCTAGACCTCCCCCACTGTAAGTTGAGTCCATTGCTCCTTGTTCTGCATCCATCACTACTGTGCATAGCTTTTTTCCATCCTCTTTGGAACCTCCCTTCAGGAAGCTGAAGGCTGCTATCAAATCCCCCCTCTCTCTTCTCTTCTGCAGACTAAATAAGTCCAACTCCTTCAGCCTCTCCTCATAGGTCATGTGCTCCAACCCCCGAATCATTGTGGTTGCCCCCCGCTGGATCCTCTTCAATGCGTCCACATCCTTTCTGTAGTGGGAGGCTCAGAACTGACACAATACTCCAGATGTGGCCTCACCAGAGACAAATAAAGGGGAATAATCACATCTCTAGATCTGCTGGCAATGCTCCTCTGAATGCACCCTAATATGCCATCAGCCTTCTTGGCTACAAGGGCACACTGCAGACTCATATCCATCTTCTAATCCACTGTAATCCTTTTCTGCTGAATTGCTACTTAGTCAGTCGGTCCCCAGCCTGTAACTATGCTTGGGATTCTTCCGTTCCAAGTGCAGGACTCTGCACTTGTCCTTGTTGAACCTCATTAGATTTCTTTTGGCCCAATCCTCCAATCTGTCTAGGTCACTCTAGACCCTATCCCTGCCTCCAGCGTATCTACCTCTCCCCCTAGTTTAGTTTTGCCTCTTTTTGATGCTGAAAAGGCAAAAGAAGGAACATGTCCAGTCAAAACAAGGCCAAATGAAATTTTTGGTTGTGTTTCATGAATATTTTTTCATCCGATCATTGCAATTTTCCATAGAAAGTTTGGAATGAAGTCATTATGTTTGCTCACAATTTTTTCTGGCTGTGAACTTGGAGTTCCTCTCAGCAATAATCAGACATGCATCTGACGAAGTGGGTCTTTGCCCACGAAAGCTTATGCTCCTACACTTCAGTTAGTCTATAAGGTGCCACAGGACTCCTCGTCGCTTTTCTCAGCAATAAGAACAAGCTCTTCCAGGCAGGAAACATCCTGTGGGAACTGCCCTGTTTCACCATTCAGCACAGCACCCCGGTATGAAACTTAACTTCACACGTCTTTTTTTGTCCCAGCATTGAAGGTAGGACAAGTAGCAATGGGCTTAATCTGCAGCAGGGGAAATTTAGGTTAATTTGTGGGAGGGGAGGGAGGAATTCCAAAAATAAGTCTCATTAATCACTGGAACGGCTTTCGAGGGAGGTTGTGGAATCCCTGTCTGCAGAGGTTATTAAGAATGTGTTAGACAAAGTCTGGGTCAGGACTGGTCTAAGGTTACTTGGTCCTGCCACAGGGTGGGTGTTTGGGCTTAATGACATCTGGGTTTCCCGTGACAAATTCTGAACAGAGAAGTTATGTTAGAAAATGGTTTTACCTCAAATTTTTAACATAGCTGTATTTCATTGTTTGGACTTTTAGGGGGTTGTTGTTGAACCATTTTCCCTTCACGCCACTTCCCTGTGAGACTGAGGTGGAGGGCAGGACTGAGCTGGGGTGCAGGGACACTCACACTCACACACACACTCACACACACACACACACACACACACACATTACCTATGACACTGAGGTGCTGGACGGGGCTGAACTGGGATCTGATCACCTGGCTGTGGCTGTCCTTGATCTCATATGCGCAGGAGTAATTCCCAGAGCTGTTCCCAGACACCATGTGGTCGTAGTTGTAGGTGAGATTCCGTTGTAAACTCATCTGGGATGAAACCTCCTCCCCGTCCTTGTAGAAGATGATGCGGGTGGCCCGGACCCAGGAGACCACGGAGCACTGGAGCCGCACGGAGTCCCCTGGCCGGGCCGACGTCTGGTTGAGGTAGAGAATGGGGGCAGGGAGAGCCTCTGGGAAGGAAAATGGGTCAGAGCTATCGGTGGCGTGTTGCTGGTGCCTGGTGCTGTCAGTGGGGCAGGAGGTGAATGGCAGGGGGCTGGGCTGTGTCTCCAAGGGAGGCTCTGATCCCAGCCCAGCTGGGCAGATAGGGGGACGGGCTTTCTCCAGGGCCCAGGGGCTTCATTCCCTGGGATCTCTGGGGCTTCAGTCTTCTGCAGTCCCAAGGGCTGGGCGGGCTGGGCTCCCCTTGCCTGGTGCTGCGCAGTGTCCTACAGCAAGGGGCCCTGGTGTGGGCACCCACTGACCCAGCAGGGGCACTAGAGCTGGGAAAGGCAGCCCCGCAGAGAGGGTGGACACTGGCTGTTGGGGGCTGTCTAGGGCCTGGGCAACACCTCAGCCTCCTAAGCAGCCCGTGTGGTGATGGCCAGTCACTGCCCCAGGGAGCTTGTATCTACTTAGCACCTTTCCTGCCCCCACAGTGCCCCCCTGCTGTCTCATCCAATAGCATCCCTGCCCTTGCTGCTCAGGGCCACATCCCAGCTCCACCAGACACACACACACACACACACACACACACACCCCTTACCAGTGATGCTGAGGTGCTGGGCAGGGCTGAGCTGGGATTTGTTCACCCGATTGTTGCTGTCCCTGATCTCGTACCCGCAGGAGTAATTCCCAGAGCTGCCCTTGGATACCACGTGGTGAGAGTCGTAGGTGAATTTCCCCAACAAGCCCCTCTGGGACGACACCTCCTCCCCATCCTGACAGAAGATGATGCGTGTGGTGAGGAGCTGGGTGTTCACAGAGCACTGGAGCTGCACGGAGTCCCCTGGCCGGGCCGATGTCCAGTTCAGGTAGAGGGTGGGGGCAGGAAGAGCCCCTGGGGGCGGGGTAATGCGTGGTGAGAGTCGTAGGTGAATTTCCCCAACAAGCCCCTCTGGGACGACACCTCCTCCCCATCCTGACAGAAGATGATGCGTGTGGTGAGGAGCTGGGTGTTCACAGAGCACTGGAGCTGCACGGAGTCCCCTGGCCGGGCCGATGTCCAGTTCAGGTAGAGGGTGGGGGCAGGAAGAGCCCCTGGGGGCGGGGTAATGG